TAGTGCTGAAGCTTAGGAACTCCGAATAGTACGGAATAGAAAAAGCAAGCAACTTTGGTTCTGGTAATGTAGAGGTACAGAATTTGAATAATTTGGAGAAAGTTTTGGTATAGGAGCTAATATTCTGGAAGACAGGTCTCAGACAACAGTTAGTCTCTCAAAATCTTTAAAGAAAGGGAAACTACACACCCTGTTTTTAGTCTTTAAAATGCAGTTATTTTTCCAGAGATATAATGCTGCCAAGATCTTATTTTGGCAAGAGAACCAAATGAATCAATTCAGAAGCAAGGAGAGCTGCTTATGAGTTTATACTCAGCATTCACAGAGGATGGATGAGACATCATTCAAACAGTTGCCAGTTTCACTAATCTGAATTATCATCAAAACTTTAATTCTGCATTTAAAAACTTTTTTGCATTGGAAAGCAGAATAGTTCTTCTCCACGGAATCACATGCAGACTAGGCTTGCCCAGAGCCAAATTTAGTTACGTTCCTTTTATTAAAAACAGCAGGGCCTGTAAGTTCAACTACTGTGCTGTAAACATAGAACAAGTCACTTTCCATGCTTCAAGAAAAAAAAAGATTTAATTTCAAAACCTTTAACAATAAAGATGTGTATTAGTTCCAAGAATTGTGTGTGAGTTTAAACAGTGCAAGGCAGTCTCTCTGTAGGTGGCCCGGCTCTTACATTAACTACCTTAAACAAATGGCATTTTAAAGCCAAACACACACACCAGACCAAAAAGAAAGAGAAAATCCACAAGGTGGTCATGCTGCAGGGGAGGTCTACCACCAACAGAGAATAGGAAGTATAAAAAGTAACTTGATAGTATGCATGAAGGAGGCAAGATTCGTGTATGAGACATGTGGCTGAATATTTTAGATTTATAAAACTGTTCTAGAAAAATTGGAATCAGCAGGAAACAGCCACTCTCTTCCCTCTTGAAGTAAAAAAGACAAGTATATACAAGAAGATGAGAACAATGCTGGACACAATATATTTTGGATTATAAAATAAAGGGACATTCAAAATGATTTCCACCAGAAAGACTGTTATTATCAATCTTAGACATAAAACTAAAATGAAAGTTAAGCTGACTATTCCTGCGTCATTGTTTTTATCACTGTTCTGTTTCAGGACATGGTATGGATCTTCATTTCCTTATATGCAAACCATTAAAGAATTTATCCTAATAGGTGTCTTACTAATCTTAGTAAAACAATCTATTTTCACAAGATTAATTTCACAGCTGTCATTTTCACACTGGCAAATGCACTGGTGAAAGATGTTTAAATCTGCAGATTTTTCAACTTTTCTTCAATATATATGACATCTCCTATATAAATTCATCCACATTATAGGGTTCTTTTGTGAGGAAACACCCACGAGCATTTAATCAGAGAAAACCCATTCTCTTCTGCCTGAAAATATCTGCAAGCAAGGAGGTGCAGGGTCTTATTAAAATGAAATATGTCATTAATATTCACACCTAACTTGCCAGATCTGTGTGTAATTCCAATATTAATCAATACAAAGTACTTACTTCAAGTCAGATGTTCCTATTTCAAAATAATGTGACACAGTATTGCATTATAAGTAGCCATAATCCTACTTTTTAAAAAGAAGCCTGATAACAAGGAGCTATAGCTGAAAACAACATGCACCTCACAACAGTGAATTTCCAACATTTATTGTGGTAAGAGAGTACCATGTAGACTCATGTATATGTCAACCTCATGAATATGTCAAGGGCAGGTTAAAACTATGGATTTTCATATGACACATGAATGGCCCATGGATAAATCAAGCATCATTCTTCAGAGTTGGGAAAGCATTAAAGCCATCTTAGGGGACTAGCTGCCCCTGACTATTGCTACTGTGATTTCTAGTCATTCAAAAGGCCAGAAGTAGCACTACAGGAGAGAGAGTAGCGAGGATTGGTGCTTCTTTTAGGCATTCCCAAGTTCTCATGTTTGACCACTCTCCTCAAAGAAGAAAATTATTCCTTTTTTAATATGTAAGAGTCAAGCTGTAGTGCTCACACTAACCTACAATAAGTCTATCCAGGTTTTTTATCATTTTTTTTGTCTAAAATTTCTAGAATTATACATGGGTAAAAATATTGGATGTGCCATGGAATTGGGGCTAACGGAGTACTAGACTAGCGGAACTGCAGTTGATTTCTGATCAAACAGCCATTGTCATTCATCCACTGCAGTGGTTCTCAACCTGTGGGTCCCCAGATGTTTTGGCCTTCAGCTCCCAGAAATCCTAACAGCTGGTAAATGGGTTGGGATTTCTGGGAGTTGTAGGCCAAAACACCTGGGAACCCACAGGCTGAGAACCACTGATCCACTGGTTGCTATGACTTTCTAGTTGGCCTATGGCTCTATTTGTTCAGAACAGAGTATTTTTAACTCTCGACTAGAAGATTAAATAAGGCAAATTCATCTTAGTTATCTATTAAGTCACAGCACCAATGGGCATTCACACAAATAAAATGCTAATAGCTCTGAAGTTATAGTTTATTGTACTAGGAATACTGGGTAGGTGTTCTGAGCTGTGCATAAGTCAAAACAGTGCATAAGTCAAAAGAGTAGCTGGCAGTTATATTGTTATTTTATGTGCACCCTTAGAAGAAACAAACTTAAACTGATGCCATTATGGTTCAAATTTAAAACACACACCAGAAACATGTGTCAAAATATAGATACAAGCTGCAGAATACTTTAACACAGATAGATTTTGTACTGTAACAGTCCAAGACTAAATACATATGAATGTTCATTCTGTAAAAGTGGAGAAGTCAGTAGCTTACATGAAACGGGGGGTAGAAAATTGCTCAGCAAAACCCCAAGATTCTCACAGTCCACTTAATGCTTGCGTATTGTTAAAATATGTTTAATAATTACATAGGGGTATGAATGGTGTATGGTAACTCTGCTAGTCTAATCCAAATAAATAAATAAATAAAACAAAGTGCATATTTGTGCATCCTTAGCTTTTATTGCTTCATTAAATAAAAAATATTGTATGTGAGAAAGTGCAAAAATTAATGTACTTTGTACATTCTTTTCATGAAGATATAAACTCAGTGACTATCTACAATAAAATAATTGGCCAAAAAACCCCTTCCCTATCTTTTCTGTATCCATTTAATACCAATTGTAGGATGTGATTCCTAGCTCTATTAAACACTACACAGAGGTACACAATGCTTTCTGTGGGGGGGGGGGGGCAGAGTTGGAGGTGGACTGTGTTTTCAATGACCCAGCAGAAGCTGCATGCTAATGAGAGGTAGGAAGAATCTCCAAAGTCACAATATTATTCTTCCCATTTTATAACATACACATTTATTATATTTTAGTGTATTGCACACTTAATTAACCTCAAATAATTTGCCTCAAATTTTAATGTCATTTTAATTTATTCAGATTTACTAAAAATATTTTAACGTTGGTTTTTTTTTAAACCAGGGGTTCTCAAACTTTTTCAGTTACAGAGCCCTTTTTGAAGCAATGTTTCTCTTGGAGCCCCAAGGAATGTTTATAGATTATATTTATTATATATTATATATAATGTATATATATCAGACATGGGCAAACTTTTGGACACGGGCTACATTGCGTATCAAAATTTGACAAATGGGCTGGGCCAGTGGCAGATGGATGGAGAATGTTTGTGTGAACTAACTGAAAAAAATATTAACAACTTCCTATGCACATTGCACATATATAGCTTGTAGTGCAAAAAAAAAAAGAAAGAATAATACAATATTTAAAACAAAGAAAAAAATTAACCAACATAAACTTATCAGGAGCCAACCAGTCCAACCCCTTTCTGCCATGCAGGAAAAGTACAATCAAAGCACTCCCAACTGATGGCCACTCAGCTTTTGTAATAGTAATAATAACAAAAGTAATAATAATAACAACAACAACAACAACAACAACAACAACAACATAGTCTCCATTGAAGAACAAATGTGCAGGGAGACCAGGCTTGTTTTGAGGGTCAGGATGCTGGGACATAGACATTTTTTGACAGGGTTGTTCATTACCCCATAGGGACTGATCCATTATTAGGAGCTTTGGCTTGAATGCCTCCTTTACACAATGCACAAGAGCATGGAGGAGGAGGCTGCTTTGGAGGAACACACACAAGTCCCACAGATATGCTCTGAGTTCCAAATTGTTTCTGAAGGGAGTGGACCTTCCCTCAGCTTCCAGGCTCCATGTATTGTCTGCTGTCTCTCCCTTCTCTTCCCGCTGCCACCATTCAGGGCTGAGACACTTCCCTATGGAATCTACCCCTCATAGCAGTAGCAGTAGTAGACACTTGCTGGCCAGTGCTAGGGGCCTCCTTCCCGGCAGCTTGAATCCTAGCTTCAGCAGCAGTGTTGAGTTCAGTGGTCCCCACCATTTTTTAAAAGCACAATAAAGGGGCTGGCGCATGACAACACCCTCTGTGTGGTGCAATGGAAACAGGGTCCTGGAAGTAAGGAAGGTGAGCGGGAAAGGTTCAGGGTGGTGAGGGAGGTAGGGGAAAAGGCTTTTGGCAGAGAGGGAGGGGGACCAGGAAAGAAGAGGGAAAGCTTGGGAGGGAGGAGGAGGGAAGCATGGAACTCTTCAGTATGCTTCACTGACCCCTTAGTGCTCCACAAAGAACAGTTTAAGAACTGCCATCTTATACAAACCCTCCACCATCCATTTCTTATATTAGTTCTTTTTAAGGAATGACCTCTTGTCATACTCCTACCTGCAAGAAGCTGCAATTTGATCCCATTTAAGGGAGGTCATAGAGGCTTTCAGGAATGTCTCTTGACACCCTGGTCCCCAACACTCAGGGAGCACCCAAATGCAACAATAGTAATGAAGCTGTTTTGTTAAAAAGTAGTATCTTACAACATAGTGTCCTGGGAGACCTCGCCTGAGAAATCCCTTAGGCAAAGCTACTTCTATTTTTGTGCATATACCATAAACAGAAATTAAAGACTTACTCGTGCACTCTGTTATCACCATACAGATCGCTTAATCCAAAGCTTACATAGTGCCAATGCTCAGGAACGTTTTCGGTTGGACTCCCTAAATTTCTATACATACTGACATAGTCCAAAGGATCTGGTCCACCCAACCTATTAAGAAAGAAAAGAAAAACAATAGTAAGTTGCAGCTCAATGTTAAGAAACAGAGGCATTCAGGAAAATAGCAAACAGGAATTTTGCCCTCTGTCATTACAACTGCAATCCATCCTGTATCCATAGATTCTATATACATGGAATGATAGGGTATGAATGGCACGTGAAGAATATAAAGTTCCACAACATTTACTAAGATTTGCAACATTAGTCAAAAGTCTAAATCAATTAACCATATGAGTTTAAATAATTAGGCCTGCATATATCTGTTGCTGTGTGAATTCAAATTGCCCCCAACTTATGGTTACTATAAGGCTATAAATCTATCATGAGGTTTTCTTGGCAAAATTGTTCAGAGAGAGTTTGCCTTTCCCTGAGACTGAGAGAGTGTGATTTACGCAAGTTGACCCAGTGGGTCTCCATAATTAAGTAGGCATTGAAGTCCTGGTCTCCGGAATCATAGTCCAATGCTAGCCATGTTTAAATATTTAAAAGGATGTCATTTAAAAGGATTGAACAGGCTTGTTTTCTGCTGTTCTACAGACTAGGATACAGAGTAGTAAACTGAAATGGCCAGAAAGGGGATTCCATCTGAATATTAGGAAGAACTTCCTGATAGTAAGAGCTGTTTGACAGTGGAATAGGCTGCCTCAGAGTGTGGTGTAGTCTCCTTTTTTGGAGGTTTTTAAATAAAGCATAATGGCCGCCAGTCAATAATGCTTTGATTGTGTGCTCCTGCATGGTAGAATGGGGATGGACTGGAAGGTTCTTCTGGTCTCTTCCAACTCTATGTTTCAATGAGTGAAATAATCTTGATAATTTATTTTTACCTCCTATCCAGATTTTTCTCTTTGTTGGACAATATTTTGCAGTCATGAAAACTTCAATTACATGGAAGGTGTTTAGTGCAGTGAAATTGCTATAGAAATGAATATTCTACCAGATTCTTCTTATAGGTTTTCTATGAATTCCTGAACAAAGTGCTGAACAAAATCAGACTGAGGTGTGAATATTCTAGTCTTTTTACAGAATACATTATCTGCTTCATAGCTATGTGTATTCTATTACTATCAATAAAAGACATTTCACTGCTATTATTATAATCTCGATGAATAACAATAAGAACAAATATATTTACAGAATTATCTTTAGAAAAGTAAGTTACCAGAGAATGGAAGCCTTTTAAGCTCCTACATCCAAGGGAATAATTTGGCAGTAAGAACATTAGCCTCAAAGACAAAGGGCAATATTTGCAAGCAACACAATCCAGGTGCAATGCTACAAACATTTTGAAAACACTTAATCAGCACTACTTGAAAGAGCATGAAACAGAAGAAAAGCATGAAGATTAGATCACTGCCTGTCATGATCCTCCACACACTTTAGTGAGAGACTATCAATACAGCAGTATTAAATAATTTATATTGTAGCACTTTGTTTACTTTAGTTGTTATTCCCAAACACATCTCTATATTTTAAACCAAACAAGAATAATGCCATCAGCATAATCATCTGAATACAAAATATTACACTAATAAATTTGCATATGACAGCTCTCTTTTCAGTCAATGAAAGAGATGAAGAGTAAACACGTATCTTAGAATATCTCAACACTTGCCTTCCCCACAAGCTCATGGCACTTAACAAGTAATTTTTCAAATAATTGTGTTCTTTGACCAGAAGCCAGAAGATCTCCAGACTAAAGTTAGGGACATTGTCAAGGAAGAATTCAGAAAGACACTATCTATAGCAAGCAAAAATAGAAAAGCATCCATGATTAAAACAGTGGTTCTTAAACATTGACCACCAGTGGGCAGTGAGGACGAAAATCTGGTCTGCAAGTCTCCTTCCTCTTTATTATTTTATATTGTTTTGTTTCCGCTTTTGTTGCCAGATGCTTTAGAGACACTTCCTCTTCACTGCCCACCGTCACACGTCTTTCTGCAACTTCCAGTGGGGCCCCATGGAAGAAGTGTCCCAGAAGTGGCAAAGGAGACTTCCCTTGGAATATGGGAGGCTTCCCATGTTCCGTAGAAAACTATGGGGCCAAACAGTGGCGGCGATTCTTCCCCGTGTGGGATGGAAAGGCATTCATTGTGGGTGAGCCGGGGCGCCGGGCTTGCCCCGCAGGACCTCATCCATGTGATGGGTTCCTTTGATTTCACTTCTACTGGCAGACTAATCGCCCTCCCTTCACTAAAAAGTAGCCTTTCTGTTCAATATTCCCTGAGAGGTTGTTGTTGTTGTTCATTCGTTCAGTCGTCTCCGACTCTTCGTGACCTCATGGACCAGCCCACGCCAAAGCTCCCTGTCGGCCGTCACCACCCCCAGCTCCTTCAAGGTCAGTCCAGTCACTTCAAGGATGCCATCCATCCATCTTGCCCTTGGTCGGCCCCTCTTCCTTTTCCTTCCACTTTCCCCAGCATAATTGTCTTCTCTAGGCTTTGCTGTCTCCTCATGATGTGGCCAAAGTACTTCAACTTTGTCTCTAGTATCCTTCCCTCCCAATGAGCAGTCGGGCTTTATTTCCTGGAGGATGGACTGGTTGATCTTCTCGCAGTCCAAGGCACTCTCAGAACTTTCCTCCAACACCACAGCTCAAAAGCATCGATCTTCCTTCGCTCAGCCTTCCCTGAAGTCCAGCTCTCACATCCGTAGGTTACTACAGGGAATACCATGGCTTTGACTAGGCGGATCTTTGTTGCCAGTCTGATGTCTCTACTCTTTACTATTTTATCGAGATTGGACATTGCTCTCCTCCCAAGAAGTAAGCGTCTTCTGATTTCCTGGCTACAGTCTGCATCTGCAGTAATCTTTGCACCTAGAAATACAAAGTCTGTCACGGCCTCCACGGTTTCTCCCTCTATTTTCCACTTGTCAATCATTCTTGTTGCCATAATCTTGGTTTTTTTGACGTTTAGCTGCAACCGGCTTTTGCGCTTTCTTCTTTCACCTTGATTAGAAGGCTCCTCAGCTCCTCCTCGCTTTCGGCCATCAGAGTGGTGTCATCTGCATATCTGAGGTTGTTAATGTTTCTTCCAGCAATTTTCACCCCAGCTGTGCATTCATCCAGCCCCACACATCGCATGATGTGTTCTGCATACAAGTTAAAAAGGTTGGGTGAGAGGATGCAGCCTTGCCGTACGCCTTTCCCAATCTTGAACCAGTCTGTTGTTCCGTGGTCAGTTCTTACTGTTGCTACTTGGTCCTTGTACAGATTCCTCAGGAGAGAGACAAGGTGGCTTGGGATGCGCATCCCACCAAGAACTTGCCACAATTTATTATGATCCACACAGTCAAAGGCTTTAGAATAGTCAATGAAGCAGAAGTAGATGTTTTTCTGAAACTCCCTGCCTTTCTCCATTATCCAGCGGATATTGGCAATCTGGTCTCTCGTTCTTCTGCCTTTTCTAAACCCAGCTTGAACATGTGGCAACTCTCGCTCCATGTATTGCTGGAGTCTTCCTTGCAGGATCTTGAGCATTACCTTACTGGCATGAGAAATAAGGGCCACTGTACGGAAGTTTGAGCAGTCTTTCGCATTTCCCTTTTTTGGTATGGGGATATAAGTTTATTTTTTCCAGTCTGATGGCCATTCTTGTGTTTTCCATATTTGCTGGCAAATGGCCTGCATCACCTTGACAGCATCATCTTTTAAGATTTTAAACAGTTCAGCTGGGATCCCGTCGTCTCCTGCTGCCTTGTTGTTAGCAATGCTTCTTAAGGCCCATTCAACCTCACTCCTCAGGATGTCTGGTTCTAATTCATTCACCACACGGTCAAAACTCTCCTCGATATTATTATCCTTCCTATACAGATCTTCTGTATAGTCTCGCCACCTTCTCTTGATCCCTGAGAGGTATTTCCCTCCAAATCAACAAGACCTAGAACAAAACAAAATCCAAATCCACAAAAGAGCAAACAAAATCTACAACTGCAATATTATGAGTGATTCCAGCTCAAATGGAATATTCTTTGAATCAGACACGAGAAGGACAGTAACAGCAGAGATATTCGGGTAATAGCTTATGAACTTTTGGTCCAAGATAACAACACACATACTAGAGCACATGCGTCAAACACAAGACCTGTGGGCCTTATCCAGCCCACCATGTAATTTTATGTGACTTTCAATGCTAGAGCAACATAGTTACATTTATACAGTTTTACAATTACAAACGGCCTTTTGAAAACAACCATAAGATTGCTGTGGCCCTTGGTAAAAATGAGTTTGGCACCCTTGTACTGGAGGATCAATTTGGTACCATTAGCTAACATGGAGCTCTTCAATTTTCTGCCTTTACTCTCTCTAGATTATTTTCAACTCAAGTAAGTTACTAGTCCTCCCTGGTAACTTCCAGATGGCTGAGCTTTCTGGCTGTAAGATGCTTGGCCCAAGGCAATCAACAATAAGCCAAGCTTGTATTTGCAACTTTTTGCAAGACAAAGCAAAGGGTATGGCCCATTCTCACATGTACTATTTTGCTTATGGCCAACATACCACAACCCATGGCTTCACAGCTTTCTCAGTACATTTCATCTGTGGCACTGTCCCCAGCACAGAAATTCTGCTTTAACACTATAATTCTCGATCCTTCTAGCTCTGAAAACCTAGTCAGAGGCATTTGTGAATAACCTACAATTATAGTTCAGGCCAACCTTTCTCTGTATCAAACAAGGCAGTGCTATTTAAAGTAGTGAACCATTGGTTGTTGGTCTCTAAAAGGTTTTCATGAAAGGAATAATTGTACTCAAATGGCACAGTGGAAAAATATTTCCTGGACCCCCACATCAGATATTTTGAGAAGCACTGAGAGAAGGTATTGTGCTTCCCTGACTCCCTATCCACATCTTCACATATGCTACGTAATGTGCCAGACCCCTGCATCTCAGTATTTCCTGGCACTCTTCAACCAGCTTCATCCCAAGGACTATTTGTTCTCCCTTCCCATCTAGGTCCACATCACTTCCTTTTATTTTCACAACTATAGAAACAC